TGTAGGGATAACTGTACAAGGTGCCTGAAGGAGAATATTTACACTCCCACACACCTTTTAGCTAAGAAAGAAGACTGCTCAGCAGCATGCCAAGTCATAACATCAACAGGGGACATCACCTTGATCCTTATAAAAAAAGCTGACGCCATACATTTACTTCCAAATTGTTGCCTGAAAATCATTAATGAAGTATTGAGGTACTAGCAAACATTTTCAATGTTGCTTCACCTAGAAAATGACTGCCTGTATGTATTTTGCATATATAAATTGGCTATACCATGGTCATGTGCCTGTAACTTCCCACTGCCTAGGCATATGCAATCCCCCAAACACCAAACATCTTCTGATACTAACAGCGCCCAAACAGCGCCTGAAGAGTATTAACATTTGTTATCAGCCATGCTTTACAATAAATAGATTTCACAAAGCTTCTCTCCCCATCACAAATGAATCTTCAAAGAAAATTAAAAAAAAAAAAAAAACAGCTTTTACTATCTTTCCCAAATAAAATAGGCACATTTTGTGAAAGATCAATATGATTAACTTAAATATAAACTAACCTCAAGCTTTCATGGAAGAAAGCCATAAACACTCTTTTTTTTTGATATTTGCTTGGGTCTCTTATATTGGAAAATATTGCGTTCACAAATTTGAAAATTAGCATTTATCAATTACCTTTGAATTATAAACTTGTAGATCTTTTGTATATAGTTGTACGTAGACACCCTTACAGTCTCTACTTAAATGAAAGATATCGGAGCAAGAGTGCTAAATTCCAGCGATTTTAGTCCCATGGTCCTCGCAGACCTACAGAGGCACGAAGGACAAAAGATCACAAGTTCTTTTCTACCCTCTTCACCAGTTCACTGCTATTTTTACTCATCAGAAGGCAGACTGGCGTCATATCTCCTCTCAGGCGAGGGTCTGAAAGGTTGTCAGAGATCACAGCTGGCAGAGGTAGACATAAGAACCAGGTTTCATTCCTTCAGCTTGTTCTTTCTGACAACAGAATGGACTTATCTTCTTTCTTGACCATACTCTGAGTCACTTAGAGTCAGGCACTCAGAAACAGCTGATTTTAGACACAAACATCTCAAACCCTGCCTCCATGCCCTCAGTTCAGACCATCCTGTGTATATCCTCAAAAACATATTATGCCTCCATAGCTACTATATCACCTCAACAACTTTGAGTATGGAGAGTATTTATTGAACTGCATACTGCTTGCTTTCCTCTAAATTAAAAAAAAAAACAGACAACTTCCGATTTGAAAATCTTAACCTTATACAAAAATAGACACATACTGCTCAATCTGAACTTCAGAAAATCACTTGTTGACTCAATATTAACCTGGAAGTTTTCTTCTTGAGAAAAGTACCTCACATTCCATTCAAAACACTGGTATCCAGCTTGCATAAAATATTTTTCCAAAGGCCAGAATAAAACTTTGATAATATGCATACACATGTAGTACAAATACAGTATTAGAAGATGAAGTGGAGGCAGATGGAATTAACAACAACGCAGAGATTGGAGACAGAGATTGGAGACAGAGACAAATGCAACACATAGACTAAAAAGATACTTACATTGACATTTTGGCTTTTAAATGTTTGAATGGACACATTTCTTTGAAAGCATCATACCCATTAAGAAAAGTGTCCCAGTCTTAATGCATATGAGGGACAGACCACCAAGCATACTATTTAGAAAAAAAAAAGGTATGGGAAGGGGGATGGGTCAGTTGATTTCTTAAATTCACATATTAAGTTAAAGAAAAAGCTAGGAATACAGCTGATGGAGTATACTACTCATCTTCTCTCAGGCCTCAATTTTGTTCCCATATCCAGAATCTTGTTTAAATCAATTAACCTGAAATAAATTGGTCACATTTGGAAAACAGCAGTGAAACTACTCCCACTAAGTCTCTGAGAATTTTATACCCTACATTTTTAATGGGAAATGCCCATTTTACTCAATTACATCCTCCAAAAAGGGCTTGCAAACTTCTGACTTGATCACATAGAAAACATTTCCCTCAAGTGCCTATCCTCCTCCCTCCCCCTAATCTGACTTTTTGCCAAGAGTCTTAATAACATAACCATTGTTTAAAAATGCTCATAAGGAAACAATCTGTCCTAAAAGCTTTGACCTAGGTCAAAAAATTCCTTCTTTTATAATGGAACTTTCTTAAAACACATTCTAGATACTCATTTCTTTACTTTTTAAAAGCACATTCTACACTGGAGAAGTTTCCAGCATTCACAAAGGGTTACAAACTGATTTTCTAATATTGTCAGTGCTCTACAGCACTATTCAATGATCTTTTTTTTAATCATATGATAGCTCATAAGTTCAGCTTGAGTTTGAGACAATTATTTTGGGCCAGAGTTCACTAAAAGAATCCAAGCAGCATTTGCAGCATCATGCTTTTAATAAGATATTCAGGCTACATATTGGTAATAATCATACCAAAAGCTATAATCAATTTCACAAGAATGACTCTAAGACACTGGTTGGCCAGATGAGTACAAAAATCACAGTATATAACTGATTTTCTGGAGGGAGCAGGAGAAAAGGGAGAACAGGACAGTTAAAAGACCACTTACAAGTCATTTTAGGAAAAACAAACAGGCAAAAACCTGTCTTTTCAAAAGAGGACAAGTGGTAAATAACACTGGTTAAGCTACATTTATCAATTATTTCCTTCTTTCTTCCACTGAGCAACCTTAACATCAAAAAGCATAAAAATTTGAGAGTGCTACATGTCATTACAAGAACTTTGAATTATAGAACTTCTTTAAGTTCTATAATAAAGACCTCAATGCCAGCTCTGCAGGGAGTTAAAAGGTTTAATTTTCTGCTAAACATAATCTGAAAATGAAGTTACAACAGGAATTAGAACCTGTTACTTCTTTTCCTTGCAGTAATTTAAAAAAAAAAAAAAATCCCTCCCTGAACACACCCAACAAGAATCATTTACAGCTTGCTCTGTGTATGCCCCCACCACCTAAAAAAGTTTTTCTGCAAACTGAAGTTTTCTCAGGTTTAATCAACACACCCTGTTTGAAAATAGGAGGAGTACTTTACATGTGCAAATGGGATTTG